CTCAAAAGAGATGTCTTGAATTCAATAGAAAGTGAACACGCTTGATCAAGTTAATTACAAAAGGGTTAAAAAACAAATCTCTTAACATTCCAGGTCTCCAGTATTCCACTTCATAGCCCTTGTTTTATTCAGTATGGCTCGAAAAGTACACTTCTTGCATGAGTGTTGCTTTCATATCTGCATTGTAATATTGGTAGTGGTGGTGCAGTGGTTACGAGCGCCGTTGATTGTCGTTCAACGCAGGTTCGATGGCGGTGCGGGGTGCAAGTTTTGCGTCTATTCTCAACCAACAGAACTTCACGCTATGCTCGTAATTAGCTCAAGCCATGTTGGGAGCTGTCACGAGTATGGCTCGTTTTTGTTGTGACAAATTTGGGGGGATTACTACCACCCCTTGAATCGCCGTCGCTGAACTGCCCGTTTTTGAAGGCCCGTGGGCGGGCCGATATTGGTGAATAGGTACGAAAAGTGCACCAGTCTTACAACATCGGCGTCCTGAATTTAGCGTTTAAATTTTCGATGCGTATATTGTGCGCTCATTCGTCAGTTGATGACAGGGTAATCGTATAGTCCACCTAGAGTCAAGACCGTTTAATTAGGCACGATTGGAGAATGAGATGAAAAGCATAGCAGAAACAACCAATTTATTAATTCCAAAAGCCATTCAAAAATCAAATTACCATTTGAAAGAAGCTTAGGGGAAGTGTCAGCTCAAAAAACTTTGAATTCTCAACAGGGAATGACCCTCTCTTAAGCTTTTTTCCAAGTTCAGGCCAATAATTGCTTTCATTATATAGCGTCATTTAAATGAACTTTAAACCGAAGCAAAATTTTTGAAGCATGAACAGTTAATGACAAATCTTAGAATATCCCGCTCTTAATCTCAGATTTTTAAGAATTTAATCAAATTGGAGGTAAATCACAGCGTTTTCCCACTTTTCTTTCCAAAGAGCACATGTTGTTTTACACTATAAAACACTTAAACAAACTTTTACGAGAAATGCAAGCAAGAATTTTATGCAAACACTTAAATAAGCGTATTTCCATGTCAAAAAATAGTGAAAAATCTTTTTTTCTGACAACAACGAGTTAGCCAATTTTTTTACATTTTCGTATTTTCCCGCAGGGTCTACTGTACGAGTTGACTGTCTTCAGTATTCTCGATTCAAGACATGATATTTATCTATCCTAACCTCTCTCGAGTAGGCTCTGATTCTGTATACCAACCTCATCTGTGGCCTTCCCGTGGTCTTTTTCCAACAACCTCCAAACATTGCCATTCTTGTGATGTGAGTTTCTTCTCTTCTGCTCACATGCCCATACCATCGCACTTTCCTCTTGCGTCTTCTTGGTGATGGGAGCAACTTTCATCTTAGTTCGAAATGTGTCATTACAGACACCAGCAAAGTGGTACCCATTATCCACCGCAGCATTCTCGCCTCCATGATACTAAACTTGCATTCTTCTTGTGTACTTGGCCAACATCCACTACCATACTGTTCGACAGATCACAGTGCGGTATACTAGGGATTTAAGTTGCACTGACATTCGCTTATCACAC